GCATGGAAGAATGTGTCATTGTTTTTTTTTTTTTTTTTTTTTTTTTGGTATTTTTGTATTTTTTTTAAATGATGGAGTTTCTGTTTGCAATTGCTTTAGTGAAAATTCTTTTATGTAAAAGAAGGATGCGTTTTTCATAATTTACTAGCTTATATGTTAAGAAATTATGGTGTTATTCTTGTTTTTTTTCATATTTAACTAAAAATTTGTTATAATTGTCTTGTTAGTTAATTGTTTTTACAGCACATATCGATAAATATATATCCATATAATAAAGTGTTAAAAATCATTTCTGCATATTATATTTTGTGAAGGGGGTTTTATGAGGGAGGGAAATGGGAATTTTGAGACAATCCAAAAAGCAATTACATGCACTTATATGGGTTTTTATCCTTTTTGCTGTAATGATTCCAAACTGTTTTGATGCACTCTGCATAACATGTAATGCTGTCTAAACGAAGGTCCTGTCTTGGTGCCATTCACCTCTAACTGTCATCATAGTAACATCCTAATGATTTTTTCTAATTTTTTTTATTTCATGAATCAGGTTGTGCAAAGGTTTCAGGAATTGTTCTCTCAGACGAAGTATAAGGAAGCTGCTGAACTTGCTGCTGAATCTCCCCAAGGACTCCTTAGAACTCCAGAGACTGTAGCAAAGTTTCAGGTATCAGCTCATCCAAATTCTACACTATATATGGCTTTATTAGAATGTTTCTTTGTTCATCATTACCGTGACTTTATGAACCATGCATACCAACTCGTGCCATTGTAAACCCTGGTATTGGACATGATGCAATGTGATAAAAAGTGAATAGTGGAGCTTATATATATTAAGCTTATAAAAATAGTGTTATATAGACACACCATGGGAAGTATAAAGTAATACTTTTGACTATATTTGTTAGCACAAAACATAATGTAGAAATTTCACGGTACAGAAGTATGAGGGAATCCTTACTAAGACTGTTTTCATATGTGTTAAGTTAGAGCTGGATGGATGAATGATGCTTGATGTATTCAATTGGTGTTCGAAGTCTTAAGGGGCATCCGAGAAGTGTTTATTTTTTTTATTTTTTGTTTTTTTTTCCCGGAAAATGGTTAAGGCACATTTTAAATGGCATGTATGGCATAGTCCTAAGTATCCAAATGTCTAATAGGGTGTAAAGCATGACACGGAAGTGCTTCAGCACTCTGTTCTATGCAGATATAACTGCAAGTCAGCCTTATCTTGGTGCCCAATTTAAATTATCTTGGAATTATATTATTCATACATGACTTTATTCTGTATATTTGTTTCTAGAAGTTGTCGTTTATTTTAATCTATTTCTTAGTATCTATTTTTTTCTGATTCATTGCTGATTTTAATTATTTTTATGCAGAGTGTGCCTGTTCAAGCTGGGCAAACACCGCCATTGTTGCAGTATTTTGGGACATTGTTAACAAGGGGGAAACTCAACGCTTTTGAGTCTTTGGAGTTGTCCAGGCTTGTTGTGAACCAGAATAAAAAGAATCTCTTAGAGAATTGGTTGGCTGAGGATAAACTGGAGTGCAGTGAAGAACTTGGGGATCTTGTGAAGGTAGTGCGAGTTGAAAACTTCTCAATAAACTCACCCTTCTATCTTTATTTAACCGCTTGTACTTTGGGGCATCCGGACTTGCCTCTTATTAGACTTTGCCACTGATTCCATAAGATCTCATGGATTGATTGGATCATTTATTCTAGTTTTTTTGTTGTGGTTAGACGGTAGACAATGATCTGGCACTCAAAATTTACATAAAAGCAAGGGCTACTCCAAAGGTTGTTGCTGCTTTCGCTGAAAGACGGGAATTTGATAAAATTCTTATTTATTCTAAGCAGGTATGCAAAGCTACTTTTAAATTATGTAATGCTGCTGGCTTTCGTGTTTGGACACTTCAAGAGAATATAAGATTTTGATTTATTTTCTTCACAATTAATGTGCTTATGACGGATACAGGTTGGCTACACACCAGACTACCTTTTCCTTTTGCAAACAATTTTACGGTCAGATCCACAGGTAAGAGATAATTTCCTTCTATTTGATAGTCTTACCTTTGAGTAGATATATGCCGCATGTTGTATCCTGTTGGTTGGCGGGGTTCACTGTAAGTCCTCTCAGGTCACGGGTTGATCCCCAGTGGCGCTAGGCTCTCAAATATTTAGGCACATGACGCTGGCTTTCATCATGCGGCCTAGCACATGAGAAATGAGTATTTGGACCTCTGCCAAATACCGATTTTTTTTTAAAATAATATACATATTGTTACGCCCAGCCTAGGTATGAAGGTTTAGTAAAAATTTTGTTGTGGGAAGGCTTATAATGTTTTCCATAATAGCCCTATCATAATAAGCTTCTGTTGCATTAGTACTTTTTGTTCTTCTTGAATATAAATTTCTTCAGATATAGTTTGGATGCTAACATACTGATTTCTTATTTGCTGATTTTTTATGTATTTATTGAATTGATAGGGAGCAGTAAATTTTGCTCTGATGATGTCTCAAATGGAGGGTGGCAGTCCAGTTGATTATAATACGATTACAGATCTATTCCTTCAGGTACTTCGGTTCTTCAATTTCACGTTCATATATAGTAATTTATTTTGCTAGTCTGTATTTTGGATGATAACCATTATGATATTCCTAGAGTGGAAATTGGTAGTTTGTTTGCCTTTTGCCTTTCCTTTCGTTTTGATAATCTTTGTTGTTTTTGGGTGTAGAGAAACCTGATCAGGGAGGCAACAGCATTTTTGTTGGATGTATTAAAGCCAAATCTACCTGAACATGCTTTTCTTCAAACTAAGGTGAATTGTCATGGCACTTTCCTTTTGTATATGTGGACATTTTGTAAATAATTTCGCTAAGATATGGTAATGTTTCAGGTCTTGGAGATTAATTTGGTAACATACCCAAATGTTGCAGATGCCATATTAGCTAATGGCATGTTTAGTCACTATGATCGCCCCCGCATCGCTCAGTTATGTGAAAAGGCTGGTTTATATGTGCGAGCTCTCCAGGTTAGATATTCTGAGGACTTCCACACCAACCAGCCTTTTATTTATTTATTTTTTTGTTAGCAGCTTCTGATGATTAAAAAATATTGATTGATGCAGCACTATTCTGAGTTGCCAGATATCAAGCGTGTAATTGTGAATACACATGCAATTGAGCCACAGGTATGTTAATTATAATAACGTTTATGAATCCTGATGCATGCTTATGTTAAATGGTAAAATTTTGCCTCCAGGCCCTCGTGGAGTTTTTTGGAACACTCTCTAAAGAGTGGGCATTGGAATGCATGAAGGACCTTTTATTAGTTAATTTAAGAGGCAACCTTCAGATAATAGTACAGGTAATCTTTTGTCTTTATTATTAATTTTTTTAATGTGAATTCACCATCAAGTTGGTTTTTAAGGTCAGTTAATGCTTGCAGGTGGCAAAAGAATACTGTGAACAATTAGGTTTTGATGCGTGTATAAAGCTTTTTGAGCAGTTTAGGTCCTACGAAGGCCTTTACTTCTTCTTGGGGTCTTATTTGAGTTCTAGGTACACTTTTATCGCTAAATATATATTCCAATTCCAGGTGTAAACATGATAAAATTTGTTTATGCTTTCTCGGTAATTGCCGCAGTGAGGATCCGGAGATACACTTCAAGTATATTGAAGCAGCAGCAAAAACTGGACAGATAAAAGAAGTGGAGCGTGTTACAAGAGAATCTAACTTCTATGACCCCGAAAAAACAAAGAACTTTCTTATGGAGGCCAAGCTACCAGATGCAAGGCCCTTGATAAATGTATGTGATCGTCATGGATTTGTTCCAGATTTGACTCACTACCTCTACACTAACAATATGCTGCGGTACATTGAAGGATACGTTCAGAAGGTATGGTTTGCAAAGTACAAGCGGACTTGTGCTTTTGCCTTCAAACAAATGTTGAAATGCCTAATTAGTTGATTATCCTGTGTACCCGCATTTTAGAGTTTATTTATTTGTAATTTTTGTAGGTGAACCCAGGAAATGCCCCAATGGTTGTTGGGCAACTTCTTGATGATGAATGTCCGGAAGATTTTATCAAAGGCCTTATTCTTTCAGTTCGGTCCCTCCTTCCAGTTGAGCCTCTTGTGGAGCAATGCGAGAAAAGGTTTGTTAAATTTTTTGTTCATATGGACAATTTAATGTTTCTGACTAGAAACGAAGTAATCTTTTTAAAATGATATGGCTAGAAACCAAGTTGTCTTTTTACTGTGCTTTGTAGAAATCGTCTTCGGTTACTTACACAGTTCCTAGAGCATCTTGTGAGCGAGGGAAGTCAAGATGTGCACGTTCACAACGCTCTAGGAAAAATTATCATCGACAGCAATAATAATCCAGAGCATTTCTTGACTACCAATCCATTTTATGATTCCCGTGTTGTTGGTAAATATTGTGAGAAGCGGGATCCTACTTTAGCAGTTGTTGCATACAGGCGAGGGCAATGTGATGATGAACTTATTAATGTTACAAACAAGAATTCCCTGTTCAAATTACAAGCTAGGTATGTGGGATTTTCTTCCCTTTTCTTTTGCAATTTATTAATCCATTCCAATTGGAGCTGGTCTATTTTTTTCAGCAATTTCTTATGCTCTAGGATGAAAGTATTTCTTATGCTCTAGGATGAAAGTATTTTTTTTTTTTTTTCAATTCTAGGTATGTTGTAGAAAGAATGGATGCTGATCTCTGGGCCAAGGTTCTTGAACCTGAGAATGAATATAGAAGGCAGCTTATCGATCAGGTTGTTTCTACAGCACTGCCTGAAAGCAAAAGTCCGGAGCAAGTATCTGCTGCTGTTAAAGCATTTATGACTGCTGATCTTCCACATGAACTTATTGAACTCCTTGAAAAGATTGTACTCCAGAATTCTGCCTTTAGTGGAAACTTCAATTTGCAGAATCTGCTGATTTTGACAGCAATTAAAGCTGATCCGTCAAGGGTCATGGATTACGTTAATCGGTTGGACAACTTTGATGGGCCTGCAGTTGGGGAGGTTGCTGTTGAAGGGCAATTATATGAGGAAGCCTTTGCTATCTTTAAGAAGTTCAACTTGAATGTGCAAGCTGTGAATGTCTTGTTGGACAATATCCGAAGCATAGAGAGAGCTGTCGAGTTTGCTTTCCGGGTAGAAGAAGATTCTGTTTGGAGTCAGGTTGCTAAGGCTCAGTTAAGGGAAGGACTAGTGAGTGATGCAATCGAATCATTTATTCGTGCGGATGATGCAACACAATTTTTGGATGTTATTCGTGCTGCGGAAGATGCCAATGTGTATCATGACTTGGTGAGGTACCTATTGATGGTGAGGCAAAAGGTGAAGGAGCCTAAGGTGGACAGTGAATTAATATATGCATATGCTAAAATTGATCGTCTTGGTGATATTGAAGAATTCATTCTTATGCCAAATGTTGCAAATCTTCAAAATGTTGGCGACCGATTATACGATGCAGAATTATATGAAGCTGCTAAAATTATATTTGCCTTCATTTCAAACTGGGCCAAACTGGCTAGTACACTTGTTAAGCTGAAACAATTCCAAGGTGCAGTTGATGCTGCTCGTAAAGCGAACAGCTCGAAGACATGGAAGGAGGTTTGCTTTGCTTGCGTTGATGCCGAGGAGTTTCGATTGGCACAAATATGTGGGCTTAACATCATTGTCCAGGTATCATTTTTTTAAATGAAGCGGTCACATTCCATGCACTGTAAACCAGACATTCAAAGTGTTTCTAATGAAGCCTCGCATGTCTTTTTTGATTTTGATGTTGTAGGTTGATGATTTGGAAGAAGTCAGTGATTATTACCAGAACAGGGGATGCTTCAATGAACTTATCTCTCTTATGGAGAGTGGACTTGGTTTAGAACGTGCTCACATGGGCATTTTTACGGAGTTGGGAGTGCTATATGCTAGGTATCGAGAGGAGAAACTTATGGAGCACATTAAACTTTTCTCTACACGTCTCAACATTCCAAAACTTATTCGTGTCTGTGATGAGCAACAACACTGGAAGGAGCTTACTTATCTGTACATTCAGTATGATGAATTTGACAATGCTGCCACCACAATTATGAACCATTCGCCAGATGCATGGGATCACATGCAGTTCAAAGATGTTTCAGTTAAAGTTGCTAATGTTGAGCTTTATTACAAGGCCGTGCATTTCTACTTGGAAGAACATCCAGACCTCATCAATGATCTTCTTAACGTGCTAGCCCTACGTGTTGATCACACACGTGTGGTTGATATTTTGCGAAAGGTACGCTTTTGCTTTTGTGCAACTAGTGCTGGTAGTTTTTACTTCAAAGGTTGTGGTTGTTATTTTGCGAAAGGTACGCTTTTGTTTTCGTGCAACTAGTGGTGGTAGGTTTTATTTCAAAGGTATTTAGAGAGTAGCTTTTTATACTAGTATCTTTGTGTTAAGTTATTACTCTTTTGATTCCTTTGCTGGCTAATATCTTGAGATGCTTATTGTTATTACTATTTTTCCTGGGCGTAGGCTGGCCATTTGCATCTTATTAAGCCATATATGGTTGCGGTGCAAAGTAATAATGTAGCTGCAGTGAATGAAGCATTAAATGAGATATATGTAGAGGAAGAGGACTATGAACGACTTCGGGAATCAGTCGATATGCATGATAACTTTGATCAAATTGGACTTGCACAAAAGGTGGTGATAGTTGTATTTTACACCTTGAAGATACTTTGCAATAATACTTATGTATTTATTTATTGTTGTCCATGCAGCTTGAGAAGCATGAGCTTCTTGAAATGAGGCGGATTGCTGCTTACATTTACAAGAAAGCTGGAAGATGGAAGCAATCCATTGCACTGTCTAAGAAGGACAAACTTTACAAGGATGCCATGGAAACTGCCTCTCAGTCTGGGGACCGTGAGCTTGCTGAGGAGCTGCTTGTTTACTTTATTGAGCAGGTGAATATTACTTCCTATGTCATTCTTTTCTGTCAGCATCACACAATCAATGACTCCAGATGCCTAGATTTGTAAGGAAATTAAACCAAGTGTGTGTGTGTGTGCTTTTTAGTCTTTTTTATTTCATTTTATGATATATGCGCATTTTCTTGAAATTAATCAAAATTGGTAATTTTTAGAAAAATGGTAAAAGTTGTTTTGCTTTATTGCTCTAAATTTACAGAAGGTTTCTTCTTTGGGATGCGAAATGAATTGAAGTGTTTTTGAATAAATTCACATAAAGAGAAGAAATCTTCTAAAATATCGAAGGTTGAAAGATCATGTGCTTGTTTGATATAACCTTAACTTGAGGAAGAAGAATGTTTTTCATCTACATTTTAACATTTGTATTTCTAGCTATAATGATAATGCATGATCAAAACAAACTTCTAATAAAATGCAACCTTAAAATACTTATTTAATTAGCTTCAGTCGTTCTATGCTGCAGGTATATATCTGATGCTGTTTAATAGTTCATTTCACTTAGTATAGTCAAATTTGAGGTGAAGCAATGCTATAATGATCTCCAGTAATATTATGTATATCCGTGATTACAGCAATCTCCATTCCTGGCTTCATCTTTATGAGAGTTTGCTTTAATTCTCTTTTTTTTTTGGCTGTTTAGTGGAACGTATTCATTAAATTTCTTTTAGGACTATTTTATGCCTTATGAATGCTTCCAAAATATAAATTCTTATTTGGAGAAATGTGTCTAAATATTCCCCTTATTTTTTACAGGGGTTTAGTCCCATAGTATAAAAAAGTGCCAATTTAATCTCGAATCACTTTTAATATAAACTGAAATAGTTCCCATGGACAACTATTTCAGCTCCAATTAAAGAACCCGAGTACTAATTTGGCACTTTTATGGACTCCCGTATTAAATGGCCCATGTAAATGGTCAGGGTACTATTTTGAAAGTATTTTTTTTTATTTGCAATTCCCAATCTTGGTTGCGAACAGAGCCTTCTCTTAGGTCGTCATTCCTTTGCCATTCAATTAATTAGAGAATTAAATACACAATACCTCTTGTTTTTAGTTCTTGTGAGATCTGTTTGGGGCTGCGGCCACTGCTGCTCCCCTGCCAGGCAAAGTCAGAAAGCAGTTATTCTGTGGCTGAAGATCAGGAAATCCAGCCCCAATGTAGCCATTGCCAAACACCTTCCATGCTTGGGGCAGCACCTCGTTTGGAAATTTTGTCCTAAAGAGCCAGTCACCTCTTGTTGACTATAATTTTTTTTATTCATCTAAACTTTATATACAGGGCTTTTCATTATTGTTATTAATATTTTCCTATGCTCACAGGGTAAGAAGGAATGTTTTGCTTCATGCCTCTTTGTCTGTTATGAGCTAATCAGGCTGGATGTCGTCCTTGAGCTTGCCTGGATGAATAACATGATCGATTTTGCCTTCCCATATCTCCTTCAAGTAGGTTTATTACTTTTTCCAGTTTTCGATTTTTCCTTTGCATTTATCATGCAATCATTGCGATGTCATGTTCCACATAGGTTATCCGCGAGTACTCGGGCAAGGTGGATGAACTGATAAAGGATAAAATCGAAACACAAAACGAAGTGAAAGCCAAAGAGAAGGAAGAAAAAGATATGGTAGCTCAACAGGTATCTATTTTGGGTTATTTACTTGCATGCCGCCCAATTTCACTGTATTTACATGCGAAAACCTAAAACTTTATTTTTTTACATTCACACCACACAAATCTTTCGTATCATATCAAAAGTCAAAAGATTTTTAACTTTTAAAAAGTAAAATACACCTTTTTTTACATAGGTAAGGTGGCATGGCGTGTGTAATAATTGAAGTTCAGGTGTTAGATAAGTAAATGCATAGGAATTTAGTGTTATGTGAATCTTCCATTTATTTTTCCTGGAGCAAAGCAGCATTTTTATATGAATCGGACTGTGATATGTATTGTGTAACTTGCAAATCACCATTTCTTTTTAATTTTTGCAGAATATGTACGCCCAGCTTCTTCCCCTTGCCTTGCCTGCTCCCCCGATTCCTGGCATGGGGGGAGTTGGCGGAGGCTTCGTACCCCCGCCACCGCCCGTCGCAATGGGTGGGATGGGCATGCCCCCGATGCCACCATTCGGCATGCCTCCAATGGGAAGCTACTGATAAATTTTTTGTTTTAAACATTTTGTACTTCTCATGTTTCATCAACAATGCGGAAAATTTTCAAAGTTGTGATAGCCATTGCTTATTATTCACATTTAGGTAATGCTTAATTTTCTATTAATGCTCTTATTGGATGTCAGGTGCAGTTTTGCCGTTTATTGGGGGCTTGTTTGTATTTTCCGTGTTATCTTTTGGTGAGGGTTATTCTGCTGTAGTGTGATTTGTATAGGATACATTTTCTCTGTTTTAATAGACAAAGTTTTGTTCATCCTTTCTATAGCTTCTGAATGATTTGTGTTATTGATTTGGATAGCTATGAAATACATTTTTATTCAAACATATAGCTTCTGAATGAGCCTATGTTTTTTATTAATCAACCTCTAGACCAATTGAAAAGATGTAGAAGGTGACTAAAAGTTGTGCCATTCTTTTGCTTGGATGGGGCAATTTTGCAAAATTAGGAATTTCTCTGTGCCACTATGCTTTTTATTATCATTATTATGAGTTAATCTTTCTCTAGATAAATGTTTCCATAGCATTTATCATTCTGTTTAGCCTTCATTTGCTATAAGCTCTAAGTGGGAATATAACTCTGCCTGTTTTAATAATAGTTGTAATTGATCAAATGGATCCATTATTTATTTTATTGAAGAAATATGCTTTAGTTTCAAGCTAAATGCCCCTTCTATAGACAAATAGGGTTCTTAATTCCTCACAAGCATCATTTGAACTCTCCACAAGCGGTTGGTTGATTTTTTAATGTACAGTTTTGTATTTGATGAAGGTTCCTAGTTACTATCTGCTAATGGTTTCATTGGCAGTGTATTTGAATTATTTTTATTTTTTTGTTTCTTTCCTTGGCAATGTTGCTCTTAGTCCAGTATTATTATTTTTGATTTGTTATGACATTATAATGTTGGCCTTATGAAGTTATCCCATAAAGCAGTTTATGAGAGTATTGTAGATGAATTTGTAAGTATTGTATTTTAACTATTCTTTTTTGTGTTCGCTTGTTATTATACATGGTAGAGAGTGAGACAAACTTATTAGAATATGAAGGATAAAGTATTTGGCTAAAAATTTTATAAACCAATCAAATAAGTGCATTTTCCCTAATTAAGGAGCACTAGCTATATTCCTTGTAAGGATTGGATGTTATGATTGGTACATAATTTAAAAATAGGAAGATAGAAATATAATAACAACTTGGCTGGTCAACAAGGTCAAAAATCCATTTACAATGGAATGATTTTTTTATTTTGCCAAATAAGTGAATAAATATTATGTTATTCAAAGTCATTTTAGATCAAGCATTGTTATTCTAAATGCAATGTAAATAATATTTGAATACACTAACCAACATTTTAAGAAACTACAATCTTCATCATTCAAAACTGTTGGAGACCGAGCTGGTCTACTTAGAAATACTAAACAGAAATGAGCGCTGGCAAACAAAATAAACTTCTTGCTTCTATCGCCCAACATTTTTATTTTTTAATTTTAAAACATGTTTCACATAAACAAGCTGTGCAGGATTTTTGCCCATGTGCTTTATGAAGAAAAATGCGCACACGCGAATTCATCTGTTCGGTAGCTCAATAAAATCACCCAACTGTTTTCTCTCATTCCTGGGCAGACCCTTCGATTTCATCTTCTGCCATGGGTTCAGATTCAGCTGAGTTCTCACTTTTCTTACCTGCACAATGTCAAAATTAGTCTGATTTTTAGTGCAAAATGTCAAAAAACTGTGTGAGGATATCTCGATCAAATCGAGCTTAGAATGTTTCCAGAAGGATTAATCGGATAGAATTACATATGTTATGCAAGCAGCAGCAACAATAACAACAACAACAAAGCCTTAATCACACGACGTGGAGTCGGCTACATATGTTTTGCAAGCAATCTAACTAAAATTTCAATTATCTTTTTTTTTTTTTTTTTGAACATGTGGATACATACCAACTAATTCTTATGTATTTACATATCTGACACCTAGATATTGCTTTTTCATCTATACCACCCAAATCTTTCATGTCAAATCTAAAAAACCACAATTTTAACTTTTAAAAAGTGAAATACACATTTTCATGCATAGATAAGGTGGCATAGATATAAAGATTAAAGTTTTAAATGTTAGGTATGTAAATACATAAAAACCGAGCGGAATGCATGACACCAAAAATAACAGAAAAAAAAATTCTAAACCATCACCAAAATATCTAAAAGCATAAAGAAGAGCAACTATTATTTTCAATAAATGTTCATAATTCAGATAATGATTATAAAAAAGGGTATAAACCTAAACCTCTGGGCCAAAAAAAGGCCTACAAATTGAGAACATTAAGAAAAGCACATACCTTTTTTCTTCTTTCCACTGCCCTTCTTCTTGGTCTTTATTCCCAAAGCTAACCACGTTTTGATTTCAGGATCATTATCTATATTTTTTGAAGTCTGCAGCTGCTGCAAAGGGTGGTGAGTAATCCTGTCTGATCCATTGGGCATTAACAACACTGTAAACTTGATGTGAGCAACAATGTCACCTGCCACATGAAAGCTCAATCAAACATCTAAAAACAGAGAATGATACCCCATACATACATGCATACATTATATATATACAGAAAGAGAGAGACCACGTAATTCTTATATGTGTACATATCAAGCACCCAAAGTTTAATATTTACATTTATCACATCTTGGTGTCCTTAACCTATGCATGAAAAGGTGTATTTCACTTATAAAAATATGCGATGGCTCCATTTTTTAAGAAATGTTTAAGATCTGAGTGGTAGTATGCAGGTAAATCTCAATGTTTAGGAGTTGGGTAAATACATAAGAAGTGTGTGGTATGTATGTAAATGGTTGCATTTTTTATGCAATGTTCAAGATTTGAGTGGTGAGTAGGTAAATATGAATGTTTAGGTGTTAGATATTTAAATACACAAGAAGTGTGTGGTATGTATGTAAATGTCCCTGCATATATTATACGCAACATAGAAAGGATCGTGGCTTAAATATTTTCAGTAATACTGACCAGGTTTCTCATGAAGAACAGGATATGGCTGTAAAAGATCATGGTTTACACATTCAACCAGACCAAGCCGAGCCCGCTTCTCTTCCAATGCCCTGATAAGAAAAAAACCACTCTGTCGTTATTTATGTCAGCATACAATAATAACTAAATATGTTAATCGAAATGAGATAAAATTCAAGAATTTGCATTCTCAAAATTCTCCCATAATTTCCTCTAGGTTGATCTCAACCCAGATGAACTACACCCCATGGTTCATTTCATCTAATCTTCCGTGTCAGACAAAACCAAATTTGATTATTCAGAAATAGGAAGACTGAAGTTTGAACTATTCCAGTATGCCCACCACGCAATAGTATACATTGCGTGTCTGTTTGTAAACAAGTTGAACAGAGTGTGATGTACTAAAGTTGAGCTCGATTGGTGACATGTATGGTTGGTTCGAGGTCAACTAGGGCTCAAAACTTGAACTCGATCTCGGCTTGCGGAAGTTATGTTCAGCTCAAGCTCGGCTCAATTTTAACAGAAGTAATTTAAAATTTTATGGATCAGTAAAAAAATATATTTTAATACAAATATTAAGATTATTTAATGAATTAATTAATGTAATTAAGCTGACTGAATGAGCTTTCAAGCCGAATCTGGTTAAGCTCAAGCTTGATAAAGCTCGAATCTTGGGCTAGCTCCGTTCTTCACTTACACCCCTAATTGCATGCAAAAACAAAAGATAATAGTCATGACTAACAAGCATAAATAAAAAATGTGAACCTTGCACTGAAGGGCATGATAGGAAACTTCTGGTTGATTTCACTGAATATAAACCTTGATGCCTTCAACTTCAGATGATAGTTTTTGTCTACAGCTCTTTTATAAATTGTTGTTTGCTTTTCATCCAACAATTTTGGCTGCACATAGAAAGCCAAAAATATATAAAAAAAGAATAACAGCATTCAATATCAACGGCAAAAGGCCCCCTAACTCTTGCAGGGGTTATTTTAGTCCCAGAGTTTATAAAAGTGTTAATTTAGCCCCCACACTCTTTTAATATAGGTTAAAATAGTCCCCAATGAGAAATGTTTCAGCCTTTGCTATAAGAGTATGGGGACTAATTTAGCACTTTTATAAACTTGAGACTAACATGACCCCATGTAAATAGTCACAGGCTATTTTGACACTTCTTTATAATGGGGGGAATTTTAAGAATCAAGAAGAACTCTTGACTCTGGAAAATTCAAAGGGCCAGTTCTAAATTCTAACCTTGCCCTCACCAGTAGTAGTAACTATATCTACAGCATATACTTCATTTTCTTCAAATTCTGCATCATCAACTCTAGTGTCAGGGTTCCCGACGCTCAAAATTACTTTGTTGCCATCAATAACAAACTGCTTCAGTTGATGACTCAGGACTCCTTCAACAATTTTGCAGTTATATGCAGCAGCTACCTTCTGAATAGCTTCCGTAACATCTTTGTTCTGCCATGTGAGGAAAGTATGATATTTTTCTGCTCATTTTTTTTGGTAAAACAGATTATTAAATTGAAACACATAATGGAATTATTTTGTGCCACAATCAATAGAAAAGTTTACAAAATAATAGAAGCATGTACTATGAAGAAGAAATAAAAAGGAAAATTTAAATACACACCACACAATTCTTATGTATCTACATATCCAACACCAAAAATTTGATATTTACATTTATAACAGTTTGGTGTAATTAAACTTTGCATGAAAGATGTATATCAGTTATCACTTTTAAAAAGTTATTAATAGTGGTAATTTGATTTGATGTTAAAGATTTGAGTGGTATGCATGTAAATATCCAAGTTTAGGTGTTAAATATGTAAATATATAATAATTGTGTGGTGTGTATGTAAATGCCCCAATAAAAAAGTATTTCTTTAGATGAAGGCAACTGCTTCACAAACAGCACATCGTAGAGAACTGATAAGTATAGTTGCAGGGAATTAAATTGAAAGAAAACTACTGAAACATTTAAAATTGTTCCAAGTGATCATTAAATTAAAACAATTACACGTATAAACAAAAAAAAACTCTTTTTCAACAGCATAACTTACAAATAGAAAATTTCTGAGTTTTCTATCAGAAAATAATATCTGATAAAATTGTTGGTATTAAAAAAAAAAAGTCCAACGATATTATATGATTACAGAACATAGTAGATATTAATATATCATTTTAAATCAGTATTCCATGGATCAACTTTTTCACACATGTAGCTTCAACATATAGCACCTGCAACCTCTAAATAATAACAGCAGCAGCAATACCATAATTTATCTAGAATGGAAAAAAAAAAAAAAAAACTTGGGACAGAACAAAACTGATGATTGAAGCACGGGCATAACACAAAAAGTTAATTTATACATGTAAACTAAACAATATATCATTTATTCCAAACCTATTTAAGGTGATTTTAGAAGAGAGAGAGAGAGAGCAATAAAAACAGCTAGTTGACTCACTCGCCTTCATGGTAAAAGCATAAATATGCTTACCTGTAGCACTAGAAGAAAATAATAAGATATATATACAGCATACTCAATAAAAAAATAATATAATAATAAATAGTGCAGATTCATTCTATAAATAGTTAAGATGTTATCATTTAAAACTGGTAACACAAATTAATACTATAAATTGTTAAGATGTTATCATTTAAAACTGGTAACATTCACCAACAAACTAAAAGTGGCATAAAAGATGCCGACATGAGTTTAGAAACACAAGTGATAGAAATGAAGTGGCCAAAGAATTCATTACGTAGAGATTATAGGCATCATTAGATGAGAATGATGTATCCATATAAGGAATCGGTAATGGGATTAGTACCAGAAAAGTCCCACAAAAGTATTGATGAAGAACATCCACACAGATATTTACGGATAGCATCGATACAGTAAGTTCTAGTTTATGTTGAAATGACACATAAGATTAAAGAGGATCAAGTTCAAGATGAAAATAAGGATCCAATACAAAGAAAAAGTTGATATATAAAAAAAAAACATAGTTAGAGGAGTGCAGCATCAATGGAAAAGAACAAAGAAGACAAGGAAGATAACAAGTCATAGTTATGATCCCATTTTAAAAGGAAAGAAATTAAAAAAAAAACTACCTCTACTAAATTTCTTGATGATACAAGCCTATATGGTCAATATATACTACACAAAAGAACTAAACAATTAAAAAAATCAATAAAGCATAATATCCTCAATAATTAATATAATAATAACAAAGAATGTGCATTCCTAATATAAATAGCTAGCACGTGTGATAATTTAGATATGAAATAATGACTAGAGAATGAGAAAAATATTTTAAGTCCTTCAATATTTGCTGACAACAACAACAACAACAACAACAAAGCCTTAATCCCACTACGTGGGGTCGGCTACATGAATCATTTTTCTCCATTGCGTCCTATTTAGTGTCATATTTTCATTTAGTTCTAGAAACTTAAGATCATTTTTAATACAATAAGCCCAAGTCTTCCTAGGTCTACCTCTGCCTTTCTTAACACAAGTCGAATTTAAAACATCTACTCTCCTAATCGGATCATCTAATGGTCGACGTTTAATATGACCAAACCATCTAAGACGACTTTCTCTAATTTTGTCTGTCACAGGAGCTACACCAACCCTATCACGAATATATTCATTCCGCATTTTGTCTCTAAGTGTAAAGCCACTCATCCACCTAATCATTCTCATCCCGGCAACACTTAACTTATTATTATGCTTCGCTTTTAAAGGCCAACATTCAACGCCATAGAGCATTGCAGGTCTCACCACCATCTTATAAAATTTTCCTTTCAGTCTTAGCGGTACTTTTCTATCACACAAAAGGCCCGAAGCATTCCTCCACTTCAACCAACCAACTTGAATTCTACTATTAACATCCCCATCTATATCACCATCGCTTTGGACAACGGACCCAAGATATCTAAATCGTTCACACCTTTTAATAATTTGATCACCCAAAGTCACACTTCTGTCACTAGAGCTATTACTACTAAAATTACATTCCATGTATTCAATTTTAGT